TCTAAGGTAAAAAGGCTCATCGAATTGTCCTTTGTCAGTGCCCCCTTAGGTTGTCGAACCCTCAATCCTGATCCATTACAGACTTTCAGACCGAGTTCAATTCTAATGAACACACTTTCTTATGTCCATACGGAGGTGAAAACCACACGAGGAACATAAGATGTAAGCTCAAGGAATGGTCCTCTATCCCATATGGAGGTAAAAACTACACGATGGAGTAGTTTCTCATTTAAGATAAATGGTATAGAACGGGGTTTAGCTCATGTCATGAAAATGTAGTGCACAGTGTGTGAGGAAAAGCATAAAAAGAAAAAACAATGTACAACACACAAATTTATTCTTTAAATCTAAAAACACACAATTAAATCTGAAAACATTAATGAACAAGTTAGTACAACTATTTATACAAAAATATGGTTATTAAATAACAAGGGGTCAAAAACTAAATTAAAACAAATTTATAATTTTAATTGCAAAGACAATTAATTAATAAATTAGTGGCTTGACTCTCTAAAAAAATCCCCAGCGGAGTCGCCAAGCTGTCGAGACGATATTTGCTCAGCAAAATCAAGTGTCGTTGCTTTCTAAATCTCGTCTCGGAAAAGTAAGTGATTTTCTTCTTTGAATCAGATAAAACACAATTTTAAGGAGTCACCACTTATCATTCATTGAGGTGTGATTGGTCACCAAAAATGACATGTTATTTTAATAAAATTCATACGAATAGTATTAAAATAACACAAAAAAGGGTCTACTTACCAGAAAATGGGTTCGGGAGTCGGTTACGATTGGGGAAGGATTAGCACCCCCACAACGCCCAAAATTGGTACATTTGTTTATTAATTAATGTCTTTGCAATAAAATTTATAAATCTATACTTAATTTAACCTATAATCCCATAAAAACATTAAGGATATTATTTTATACCAACAAATCATTTAAAATACTTTCCTAATCAGTTAAGAAAATATTTTATGATTTACTGTATAAAATAAAATAACCCGAGTACATGTAATAAATTTAATGATTAAAATGTGAAAATATCAAAATCCTAGGTTACTAGTGCAATTATTTCATATTTTAGGTACTAAAAATGTAAATAAAATAAAAGTAATATTAAAAATTAAAAGTATTAAAATTCAATGGTTAAATTGTAAAAAATATAAATAATGGGCCTAATTCAAAATATTACAAAATATAGATACTATTAGAGTAATTTAAACATAATTAATTATACGGGTTAAAATATAAAGTATTAGAATAGCATGGACTAAAATAGATATTTACCCTAAATATATATAAATATATTGATTAGTGACTAAAATATAAATAAAACAAAATTAGAATATCAAATTGAAATGCACGGAAATCAACTTCAGTGACTATAATGGAAGTTTACAAAGCCTGAGGGACAGCGGATGTAATTTTCCCACGTGAAAATTACACAGAAGTCCCTCCCCCAAAATGACGTCGTATGGGAGAGGGTATAAATAGGCCATATTCGGGCCAAAGAGACCTAACCCTCTCATTTCCTCTCTTTGTTTCTCTCTCTTAGAGAAAGAAGCTCTCGGTTCTCTCTAGGATTCCCTCGTTGGAGGGACGTCGGTCACCGGCCGACCACCATACGCAGGCGACTCCAGCCACCGCCGACCACCATTCACGGTGGCCGGAATTCAAAAATTTACCCCCAAAATGTTCCTCGTTTTACCTTAAAACTAAAATCGATAACCTTTTATCCTAAAAACTCCCCAATCGGGCTAGATCTGAGGTTATACCTTTGGCTTTTTAACTTTCCGACGACGTTTGAAACCTCCGATGGCCGTGGGTAAGTCTATCGGTCTTTTCTCTATTTTCTTTCGTTGCTACTGCTTGGTGATTTCTTGGTTGTTTTCGTTGATTACCTTCGTTATTAGCTCTCTTTTCTCTCGTTGTTTCTTTATGTTTTCGTCTCTTTCGTTGCCCTCTGTCTGTGTGTCTTTGCTTGCAAGATCGGGGGTTTATATAGCCCCCTGGGTACCCGGCTGCAATGATGAAATCCGATGAGTCACCGGACCTACAGTGGTGACTCACCATAGAGAGATGAAGTGTGTGGTCCTCATTTATCTTCTGGAGTATTCTGTTAAGGCGGTGGTGGCGTAGCAGTCGATGTTTGGAGCATCTGGAGGAGCGGCCGGAATAGACCCTAGGGTTGTAATGAAACCCTAGGGTTTCTGCTGGATCATCTGTGGTCATTGGATGTCTTTAGATCTAACGGTAGAGGGTTGTTGGTGGCACTGAAGAAGCATGGGAAACCCTAACTGCTGAGTTCGAGCCTTCTGGATCATCTGGGCCTAGATCGGGTCTGTTGGGCCTCTCAGGTTGGATGTACTTATGGGCCTCCGGGTTTGGATTTGTCTCGGGTCAACTGGGTCGGATATGGGTTTTTACTTGTAAATGGGCATTCGGGTTGTTTTGTATTTGGGCCCTGATTTATCATATTGGGCTTTGTAAATGGGCCTCCATATTGTTATATTATTTGTAATAATAAAAATAATATACTAATACTAATAATAATAATAATAATAATAATAATAACAATAATATATATGAACAGGATAAAAACTAGTGTCGACAGCCTCTACGAATCGTCACGAGATCATCTGCCCTCAATGTCACGGGCAGTTTGTTTGCGAGATGGAAATCACCAGACCAAGGATGGTTGTTGATTTCACTGCTTTTGATGCATCCCCTGAAGCTCGTTGGTTGGAAGCACTTTCACTTCTTATGGATCCTCCCATCAGGCTATTCGATACTGGTATTGATCCAACTCTGCCTCATGAAACCCCTGCACGCCCTGGTCTTGATCCAAGGAGCTTCTTTTTCGGACCGGGACTAAATGAGTTGATAGAGAAACTAACACAAAATGACAGGCCAGGACTACCCCTGGCTCCAGAGTCGACAATCAATGCAATTCCAACCGTGTTTCGGAATTACATCTACTCCATGATTCGCAATGTCCAGTTTGTAAGGAGGAATTCGAGATCAGTGGAAAGGCAAGGGAGTTGCCTTGCAACCATATATACCACAATGATTGCATCGTGCCTTGGTTAAGGCTTCACAATTCTTGCCCTGTTTGCCGCTACTAGTTGCCAGTTAGCAGTGTCGATGAACAATCTAACTGCAACTATTTCTCCGAACCCGAGGTTTCATCCAGAAACGGCAGAAGATGTTGGAGGCTTAGGCAACTGGCTAGCAATTTTGTGGCCCTTCCGCCGAGGGCGACATAGAATTAAATCAGAGACTGATAGAATCTGTACATCCGAAGGAAATGAAAATTAATTCTCAGTGATTTCATTTTAATGGATCCAACATGTACTGTATTCCTATCAATAAGATGGCCTTCAACAAAGATAATCACAGTTTCATGCCCAGCTAACAATAGAAAAGCATAAAACTGAACATAATTAGAGTTTTTTCATGCAGCAGCTCATGTAAATTGTAAAGCTCATAAAGGCCAGCAGCTGCTACAATGGCTTTTCACCATAAAACCTATTCCAATGTAAAGTTTCATGACAGTAAAATCTCTAAATGCTGCAAAAAAGCAGTTTCATTATCCATCTCAATTACATTTAACATGTGTTTCTGAAACCAATGACTGGTCTGATCAAATGTGTCTGAAAGCAAGAAAGACCTTCAATCAATTTCATCTGATCCTAAAAACAGGGCATGTATTAGTATCTATTAAGGGGTCTCGCAGAAGATTACAGTATGCAAAATTATACCTTTAGATTTTCGAGAAGCAATGTAAAATGTTGATTGATGTATTTACCGGCAGTATGAGACCCTTTGTATGTGCTGTCTTCTTGAATATTGTTAGAGGCGTGTGATCTGAATTGCAGTCGATTCTAGTATAATTTAGATTGTCTTTCGTAATTTTTATTGATAATTTATTTTCACCCGTTAAAATGATATAAATTTATTCATTAATATAAAATTTTGTGTTCGTCCGTGAATGTATTCAACATTTAAATGTCAAATTGAAGATCAAGTCTCCATCTGTAATACTGTGTTTCGATTTTCTAAATATTTTTGTCACTGATCATTCTCAGAATGGTATGGTAATTATTTCTCTTGTCCATTTGTGGTAATTTATCTCCTTTCCTAATTGTTCAAACTCTCACCAATGGGATATATTTTATGTTGCTAGGTAAAACCTCTCCAGATTTGCAAACATTAAATGAATCAGTACAGGGTTTGCTTGATGGAATTCAAGTATGGTATTACATTTAGTCTTTTGCAGATAGATTTTATGTTGCTTCTTGTTATTTGTTTTCTGAAACCAGAATTACATTTCTGAATTATTTGTTTTGAATTATATTAAACCCATAAATAAATTTTAGAAAAGCATTTTTTAAAAAATAAAAAGTCCAAAAATGAAAAAGGGACAAGCCTTTTGTTGTTGGGCTTGAAACGAGTAAACTCACCAGCAAAATATTTTCAAATCCAAAATAAATAAAATTGTTATAGAAAATTAATATCTTATAAAAAGGATGAAAGATAAAAATAAATAAATAAAAAATAGACCCCCAAAGTCCCATATAGAGGATAAGAGATGGGGTCACTCTCAACAAACAGTCATCTTTAACGATGATAAACGGGGGGCCGCTCACAGTTTCCTCAGTCCATCATTGCAAATAGGGAATACCAACATCAAAATCTAGTGAAGATTTAGACGTTGGGGTGATTAATGGAAATTATTATGATTCTTTGTGGCAGGTGGCGTAAAAAAGCGAACTTTTTAAGAAGAAAAACAGCAAATGCATATGGTTTCAAGTTTCAACAATGTCCATAGTTTGTCTTTGTTCCCGTTGACAGTCATATTTAACAATGATAAACGGGGGGCTCGCTCACAGTTTCCAAAGTTCTGTGGAAAATAAATGGAAAGAACCCTAATATTGAACAAGAACGATTTAATAACAAAAAATACTTATTCTCCATTACAAAGGTAATGTGCCCTTTAATTTATACATAAATTGAATACGTAGAAACTCCTATTCGAGATTCCAAAAAAAGTTTTCATCTCCATGTGGATTTCTTCTCCCTAACTAAAACGTAAGCCTAAAAATGTGAATTTTGAGTCACAGCAACAGCTGAAGATCATCAATGAATACAAATAGACTAAAAGAATGGTGACTTAGCCTCAGGAGAAACTCCATAGACGAATATCGCTTAATTCCTCGTAAAAATCATTCATCATCACTGCCGGTGGATCAAATGGGGCTAAGTTGAACATCTGATCAACGTACTTTGGAGATTGCAGGCTGTCAAAGGAGCTGTACCATGATGGTTCGATCATAGAAACAGGCTCAAGTGATTGCATCAGCGATACATCATCATCGACTTGATCATACGGCGAAGAGGACATTGATGGGGAAGAAAATGATGATGATGGTGTTGGAGATATTGGTGGGATGGTGGTGGTGGCGGTGCTGCCATTGTCAACGGAACTATTTGCTGCGGCGGCGGCGGCAACTTTTTGGATTGACTTAGGAGACATGTTGGTATCAGGGATGTAATGATGAGTGGATGCGAGTGGGAAGTTGAAATTTGCTGAGGAACCTTTGAGGCATAGCAATGCAGCATCATAGGCTCTAGCGGCTGCTTCTTCTGTTGAATAAGACCCTAACCAAATCCTGGTTTTCTGGTTGGGTGCCCTTATCTCGGACACCCAAGAACCCCAGCTCCTCATTCTTACACCCTTGTACTTCTTCTTGTTGCATGATGATGATGATGATGATAATGGTGTTGGAGATGTCAATGATGCCATTGGCTCTGCTTGCTGTTGACCACTCTTCACCATTGGCAAGGTAAGCAATCAATGAACAAATTACAGTGTGTACTTTACTTGTTGAAGATCAAATGCTTCTGATTTTTGTTGTTTTTGGAACGGAGGATTGCATTGAGGGAAAGAGATGAGAGTGGGGAGTATTTATAGATGGGGGGAGGCTTCAGCTTTTGAAGTTGGAAGAATATCCCATGGTCAAATCCGTATGGTTCCACATATGAATACAAAAAACATAGAAATGGCTGACTGACAGATATATCAATGGCTGGTGCTATATAGTAAATATTTTTGCACCAAACATGTTGATGACACGTGCAGTGAAGAAATGTCAATTTGCAAACCTTACACTCATCCTACTCGTTCATGAGGGCTCAAATAGATGTCCATTCACAAATTTACAGCTACAAATCATTTTTGAATGGTTCAACCAACATCCTATTGCAGCACGAAATCTAAGTGAAAAAAATATTAAGCAGTTAAATCTATAATATATGTGCATTCATCGTTAATTGACTAAAAAATTTCTAAATAACTAATAAAAAAAAGTTAGAATGGGGTCTCTAGAGTCATCCCCACCCCGGTTGACGCCTGCATTTCACATTAAAAAGAGCAAACCACAAAACTTTCATATTGGTTTCCTTGTCATTTTATGTGTTTACTGTTCATGTGAGTTTTAGATGCCCTTTTGTTTATTTGATATGCTGATGTTAGTTTAGAAAGGAAATTGAGGAGAGAGAAACATAGGATTCTTCGTTGGCAACTTCCAAGATCTACATGCTTTTTAGTTCTTGGAAGTATTATATCATGTTACTCAAAATGTGAATGTTTATTATATATAATAAATTTTAAAAAATCCCATCACATATCTATATTAAATAAAACTTATATAGTTATTATACTAAAGTTCAATCTAAATTTGATATGAGTGAAATTGAATTGAGAAATATAGAAAACATAATTTGATTGAGAGTGTGAAGCACATTTAAAAAAACTTAATTTGAGTAGATTTTTATTAAATAATTTTTTTTATAAATCAAGTAATTATCTTATAAATAGATACTAGATATTAGAAGTAAATATTAAGTTGTTAATACTGATTTCTCTTGTTTTCTTCTATTTTCAATATTAAAGAAAATTTTCATTTGCTATATATGATTTTTTCCGAAAGAATTTTCACGTGTATAAAGCAATAGAATTGTATGTTAAAAGGGAAAAAATAGATATATAAATAAATTTTTTATAAAAAAAAAAAGGCTACTGCCAATGACAAAAAAAAAACAATAAGAGGAAAGGCCAGCTGTTGCTGCACTGTCTGGCAGGTCTAAAACCGCGTCTCTTGGGCATCCATCCATCAGCCTCATGCACTCTTTTTCTATCTTTTAAAGTGTATTAACATTAATAAATAACAAAAGCCTCAATGCACACATCATCTTCCATCTGTTTCATGCTGTTTTGCTTAGCTGCTTACGCTTGCATGCCTTGACTTTCTCCCCAAGTTCTCCCTTCACTCGGTCCTGCACAACCAAGATCAACTACAATCATATTGGGCACATGCGTTCCAAGTTTAAACCATAATATGTATTGAGTTTGTTATATTTACTCCAAAATTTCTCCACAAACTGAACCTTCATACGATTACAATCTCTTAATATGATAACTTGTTAATCTGCGTAATTTATCAGAGTTAAATATATTATCTGAAAGATATTTTTTTTATTTTGTCAACTTACGAATAATTACCATTATCTTAGGTTTGACATCAATACTAAAGGTTAATATATAAAACATCATGCATGTTGGAGAAGAGATTAGATACCTCGACTCTCTTAACTAATCTCCCTATTCATCATCTCTTTCAGCTCATTTGAATTTGTAGTCGTGATTCTTCGCTTAATTTAAAAGAAAAAACCGCCTAAAACCATCACAGTCACTATTTTACCATTAAGATAATTCATTAATTTTTGTAACTTTGGGATGGTTTGGATTCGCCAAATATTTGTATAGTATGCATTGTTTTGCTGCAGATTGTGTTTTGTCGTCTTTCCAGTCAGGGAAATGAGCTTTGATATGCCTGCAAATGTGCAAAGATATTGCAAGAGAGCATCCATTGCATATTCTTCACCCATATTATCCGGATTCGAAAGTAAATATTTCAAATATTCAAAAGATTATATATTCATATTTATGTCCGAACATTAAAACACCGAATAAGATAGGTCACAAAAGGCAGGCCTTTCGGCAGAAGATAAGGTAAGTGTTTGCAAGACAATAATGCGGAAAAGGACATAATCTGTAAATGCAATACATTTTCACAAGGAAGAAAAGGGGCAATGGCAGAGAAATATGAAGTAATTTGCTCATAGAAATGCTCTTTCCAATGATAATTCATGTGGGGGAAAGAACAGTGTCGGCTACATGGACAAATCTTGCTCTCCTTTTCCCATTGGGAAAACACTAAATAAAAAAATAAAGAATTAGGAAGGCACCTCTTTCCTACATCAATTGTGAAATGTTATTCAATCAAATACTGCTGCTGGGGCTGGCACGATCTGATTCTGCAATAAGAACATGGTTTTTAAAATAATTTCTCTTCACATATTCTCCCTTTTTTTCCCTTAGAGTTCTTAATAACGTAAACACATTATACAAACATAAAAAAAAATTGACATGTTATTAAATTTAAATTAGACACTTAATAAAAATAGCTTCGCATTCAGTGGCTGAACCGAAGGGCTAGTCTCATCCATCAAATAGCATATATTTGTTTCGATTGCTTAACTGGCATTGAAAATACCGTACTGTCCCATAATTATTTCCGTACCGGGAAGGTGACAATGAAGATTTTATTTGCATTAAATAGGATACGGAGCCAACTGGAACTATGGCTTTGTTTTTGGATCAAAGGTCGTTTTGAATGAATGTTGAAAGGGGTTGGGCGAAAGTGGCGAGAAGAATTGAAGATGTTGGATGGTAGAGAGGCAACATCCATGTGGGTTTAGACTTGAGAGAAACTTCCACGAAAAATAGGTCAAATCTGCAACCACCACCCCCATATCTACACTCGTGCCTAACGTAATGCTTATACTATACATCATTTGTCTTTTCTGAGCTTGTAATTTAAAAAAAAAAATTAACGGTAAAAAATATCATCGATAAAAATAAGAATAAAATTATTTTAAGATGAACTTAAAATGCTACATATAATAACAAACTAAATATCATCAATAGTATTTTTGAAAGGTTTGTAGAAAAATTTTGGAATGAAGGGCCTATGCTTAGCTCCAACTCCGATCCATTTTATCATCTAAACATTCGGAAAAGTTTTGGAACTTTGTTTAGACTTTTCAATGCCAAAACCTTCAGAAAGTCATGAGTGGATACAGACAGTGACGGATTAAAAGGACAAGAAAAAAAATCTTTGCAAGATAATCCATGAAGTTCCAAAACACTACTTTATTCTATTGCAGATTACAGTGTTCTGAAAGTGTAGTTATTGTTATGCAGCAAAGCAATTCATAGAGCTGTGTAGAATGATTCCTCGCTTATTGAATATGAATACAAGGTTCAGTGTATGGAGGAAATAAAAAGCTTTTTGTAAATTACACGCTGGGAATAACACTTAACTTGTCCACATTCCAAATTGTTTCGATCTTAATTGATACAGATGTCGATGATAACCTGAAGCACTCCAACCCCGAAATGATTCCGATTTCAGATATTTTGAAAAGAAGAAAGCAAACACAAGTGAGATACAAAGCTATCCTAACTTAAAGTGACTCAACTCGAAATTCAACCTAATTCACAGATAAATGGCATGCAGATCGTAGGGTGTGACCAGACTCTATTCTAAGCTTTCACTCAGAAAAACTGGTGAGACAAAGGACAACATCCAAACCCCTGACCTACAGCATTCCAACAACAAATACAAGTAACTGGAAAGTAGCTCTATGCGCTTCTTAGATTAAGGGGACATTCATGCTTACATTAAATTCCAATGGATTTATTACCAAATGCTTCATATTGGTTAGATTATAGCTAGCCGGTTCATATTGCAGAAACGAAACCATGATTTTATGCAAAGCACGTAAAGCAAAAATTGACGCTTAAAAATAGCACAAACACAGTAGATGATTGATCTTACCAAGAGACAATGTGTAACGCCCCGCATCCCGGGTTAGAAGTTTTGGACTAACCCAAGATGTGTCTTGGGTTAATTTCTAACTTGTAAAAGGTTTTGAACCAAATTAAAGTGGATTGGGCTTGAGGTAAGCTCAATAAGGAGTTAAAAAGGGCATTTTTAATTTACAATCAGAATTAAAGGGACTAAGGTAGCAATTATACCTTTTAAAATTTCAAAAGACTGAAATCTTTAATTGATTAGTGATATCACGTCTGATACTCCCTTTTTTTCTCAACTCTTCCTTGTCTCTTCTTCCTCTCTAAATCTTCATCTTCTTTCTTCTTCTCCTATAAGTTAAGCAAATTAAAGGTGATAACTTTGGAACCTGGCAACCCTAGTTCAACAATACCAAGGTAAGGAGTGAATTCAGCATCTTTAGAATTTTCTTTTAAACCCTCAACTTTAACATTTCACCACGTGAGCCAAGAATGGGTTTTTGTGGGGTTTAAGAGTTTTTCAAGATGTCAGCTCGTTTTCAATAATACATAGGTTTAGAAAGTGTTCTTATTACCTTCTTAATAATTTCTTTCAGCTAATAATATATCCCTTGATGTTTTTCTAGTGAGAGAGATTAGAGAAAACTCCAAAGAAAAAGGGAATGAGAAACTCACCCTTGGTTGAGCATTGGGCGTTTTCAGCAGTTTATCATCAAAAGCACTTTTGACTCAATTCTACCATGTGTAAGTCATTTAGGTGAAATACAGTAGGTTGCATGAGCTTGAAGCACTCTCATGGTAGATTTCATGTTTTAGAGTTATACATATGTTTAAAGCCATATTTATGTTCCTTTGTATCTATATAAAACATTAATGTTTGGGGACCTCACTAAGGTCTTTGGGATAGAAGAATAGGAGTTTTTGCACCTATTTTATGCTCGCTGCAAGTTGAGTTTTGATACTAGAGGGATAGTATCGAAACTTGTTCTTCTTCTCATGAAAATTCGTGAGTTTCTGGGAAAGAGTATCAATACTCTTTCAAGAGTATCAATACTTTGGGCCATAGTTTTGAAACTCCTAGAAAGTATCGAAACTAGGCGGTCCAGAATGTTTAAAAGTATCGATACTTGTAGAAAGTATCGAAACTTTTACAGGAGTATCGATACTCTTGGGCTAGTATCGGTACTTTCAATCTGTTTTGGACAAAAATGCCAGTTTTTAAGGGAATTAGACTCGAGGTACCCAACACTTCAGTATATCCTCAAACAAGACTTCAAACGAGAAAAAAATAATTAATATCAAAATAGTAAAAATAGAATATAGCTAGGTTTACATAAAAGTTTGATGCTTGGGAAACAATTAGGACACTCGAGTTCCTTTTAGGAGAAATTCGACAGTCAGTGGATCCAAGTCAGTGCCATGGCACTTCAGCAAACCGACTGGACACCAGATGCCCCAAGACTCGATGAAGTAAGTTGGTGGGTGCACGTTTCCGATACAGAATTCTGGATATCACCCAGGAGTACTCAATGGTACTTCGGCAGTGCTAGAGGGGTGCGTGAGCTCCGAGATGCAAAATCCCTCAACTGCACCATGATGTCATCCACAGATTAGTAGTACAATATTTAGCATGTTGAGACTTGTGTCACTTGTCACTTCATCTAGTGAATGCATATAATATAGTACAGTTTTCAATGAGGCACTAAGCTCGTAAGCTCAGCGTTCGGAATATATTTTCGTACGCAGGTTCTTAGAGACATATTTTGGGGAACTATCGTCATCAGATATTTCAGTGCAGCAGAATAGATTTTCAGAGACCTTTCACATTACGTCATAAGCGTTTGTTAAATCTTAAAAGAGTCAAGTCGATGCATTTAGTAACAAAAAAAACAAAAGGGTAAACTATATCAGTGACCACCCAATTATAGCCCCTTTTCATTTTGACCACCATTTTTGAATTCTTGTCAATTAGCCCACTCAACTATTTAAATGCATTCAATCGGGTCACCTGCCATTAACATTTAACAGAAGTGCTGACGTGGCAGTTAATAAAATTGATATAATTACATATTTGGTCACTGTTACTTATATATTCTCTTATAAAAAGAAAATTAAAGAACCAAAGAGGGGGTGGCTTGGAATTAAACCCAGGCTACTTGGGATTACAGCTCAACCACTAGGAAGATGCAATCAGGCCACTCAACATTTGGTTACTATTACTTTAATATTCGAAAATTGAGACCAAATTGAGATAATATATAAGTAACAGTGACCAAATATGTAATTATAACAATTTTATTAACTGTGACGTGAACACTTCCGTTAAATGTTAACAGCAGGTGGCCTGATTGAATGCATTTAAATAGTTAGGTGGCCTGATTGATAAGAATTCAAACCTGGTGGTCAAAATGAAAAGAGGCTATAGTTGGGTGGTCACTGGTATAGTTTACTCAAAAAGAAAACCGGTTTTACAGTCTACGGAAATCCGCTCATTTGGACACGTAAACGCGAAACGACACCATCCTATCTCGAATCGTCAAAATTCATCGTTTTCCCCCAAATCTCAAGAACCCTAAAGAAAAGTTCCGGTTTTACGTTCGAGAATGGGCGGCCATGAAGCGGTGGAGGTTGCCAAGACCGTCCTCGAAGTCGCCGACGTCGCATGGACCGCCTTGGAATGGCACCACCATCACCATCACGACGATACTCCCAGAAATAATGAGAACTCCGATCTTGAAAAAGAATTTGAAATCCTAAAATCGGAAAATCGACGTTTAAGAAATCAGCTTGAACAGAACCTTAAACTTCTCCATAATCTATCTGAATATCCTGCTCTATTAAACGATTGTCCTCCTGACGTACGTAATTTTCCTTCTTTTTTCCGTTTAATTTTTTTTATTTTTCTAATTTCTGGAATTAATTGCAGCTCCAAGCTCGGTTGACGTCTACCGTAGATTCTAAAGACTTCTTGACCCGGCTCAAATCACTTAACGAATCCAATACTAAAATTGAGTTTCCATTCAAGGAAGCTACAGGTTCTTATATACCAAATCTCTTCAATGAATTTTTAATTGTTTTTTGATTAATTTATGGCAGAGTAATGCTACTTTACTGATTTCTTTATATTAGACACACGGATTCTCTATAATTATAATAGATACACAAGGATTTGTCTCCATTTTTAAATCAGCTATTTTCTCATATCAATGTATAGAAATTCATTATTAGACTTGTAAATTTTTACCTCATAGGTGGGGTAAATAACTCGCGACAAATGTTGGCGCAGTTGCTTTGCTTCTTTTATGTTAGGAATGTATAAATATTGATTGATTAGCTAGCATGGTGTTTTTTTTTAATAATTTGTTTTTAAATTAGGAGGTGATATACATTCAGCTGAAGTTCTGATTAATGTTGACCAAAAAGAACCAAGTTGGTGGATATGGGTAACTGATGAAATGGTTCCAAGCAATGTTGAAGAGTGGAGTGGAATTGATGATGAGAATTACGTTGTTGTTAGTGAAGAGCATGTTGTGGATGGGGTAGCTAACTTCATGGCAAAATGCATATTGTCGAACCCTAAAGCTCAGGTTTTTAGCTACTCAATCTGACTTTCCTTTTCTACATATACTATGTTCTTATGTTTTTGGAATCCTGGAATTGCAGACTTTGACCCCAGAAGAACTGCAGAAAAGTAAGTTTCCTACTAAATAGACATATCTTCACCCATTTCTTTTTCTTGGTATATTACCTGCTAGTATAAATGTCTAATGATAATTGATGGTAAATATTGAGGTCCCATTCTTTTGATGAATAGGAAGTTGCATTGTGATTCACTCCTTCAAAACTATATAGTGGAAGATGAGCAACAGTGTTGTAATAATTACTAATACATCCCATGCATTTGGCCCTTGACTTGTCTTTTGTTTTCCATGTTTGGTAACCTAAATCTTTAGACACTTAAAAAGGAGTTTTCTGTTTTTATTGATGGTGAATTTCTGCCTTTATTGTTTTCCTTTGATTTTGTTACTTAAATGTGAATACCATATAGTGTTTACTTACTGTGATGAGATTATGAGCAGCTCTGCTGAAAGCATTAGGAGGTGTCAGCAAATTGGAGAAGGTTTTGAGCATTTGGCATGCTGGAAAGTTGTTCTATACGTTGTCAACATGGGGACTTACACTGGCTGGGTAAGTTTCTCTATTCCTTTTACCAATCTTTCTTTTGGTTTTTTGTATTTATCAATTTGCTTTCCATGCTCTTAAGGCCAAAAAAAATGGCATGCTTGTCCCGGCTTGCGAATTTAAAACCTTGATCCTAGCAGCAATGCTTATATATATCCCCTTTTAAGAAGATCAAAGTCCATTATAGTTTTGCATGGAGGATTAAATCAGTAGCCTCCATATAAATTTAGCAGTTGAACTATATAAATGGCACCCCACACCTCCGCAATATCATTTTATATTTTTACCTTAATAAGGATTGTTACTCATTAAAACAAGCATCCCTTTCATATAGAGACGATGTAAACTTCTCGAGTCTTGCAGAATCATTGTTTGAGCAAACTTTTCACCCATTACACTATGGCATTGAACTGGGAACAAGTGTTTCGGTACCAAAGCATCAATAGATTGAAAATTATGTCTTTTTACTGCAAACTTGTACGTATCCAGATTTAAGGAAGATTGGTACTGAAAGATATTCTCGGATACATACTCCGGAATTTAAACATGTTGTGCTAGGTTTTTGTCCATGCTCTTATGTAATTTCTAATCTAATGAATTGAGTTTAACAATATCATTATTTCTCTGACTTTGGACAGGTTATATAAGAGCCGTACCATATTGAAGCTTGCTGCAATGGGCATTAATACAACCGGCAAAGTTGCAATGAAAGCTCTATGAATGAATTTAACTGATGTACCAGTATAGCAGAGAAAAAGTCTCTGAAGTGATGTGACGTTTGGTTTTTCATGTCAATGTTGGTGTGAACTGTAAATGTTGTAAATACATACGGTTCAATTTGTACTATTTAATGGATAAATTGTATTTACCACTCTTATTTACACCATTTCTCTGTCAACACAATTTTCATTTTGCATACCTCACAGATACACGCAAATTTATATCCACCCAGGAATCCAAAATCAACAATCCAGTTGGTAAAAGTAAATAAACTACACCAGATACCATTTTAACATCAAATTTTTATTCATTTTATCACAATATTTTATATTGATACTACATTGAATTTTAGTTTCGTCTTCAATTATATCGTTAGACAATTAACTCTAAAACAAAATGGAAATGTGGACGATAGTTCTATCGAGACTTTATCACAATTTTTAATATTGATACTACATTGAATTTTAGTTTCGTCTTCAATTATATCGTTAGACAATTAACTCTAAAACAAAATGGAAATGTGGACGATAGTTCTATCGAGACGATGACATTACCAAAATAGTGTTGTTTGGAGATATATTGATGTCAAATGTTTTTTCCTTTCATTTTTATCTCTCTTTCCTTTAATCTTAATAAACCTAACTCTTTCTAAATAAAGATTTCACCCATCCCAGAATCCGGCCAGACTCCAGCTATATCAACCGTCGTTCGCTGGTGATGGTCAGAATTTCACAAGAATATACATTTTGACTTCTTTCTTCAACCCAGATCCAAAATTATTTTTAAAAGCATAAACCAAATAGCTTAGATATATAAGAAACATTTCGAATTTATCTTTTGTAAGAGTTGATCTTCTACTGTCCAATCGTGTTCAACCCAGAACATCTCACCATGGCCTGCCATTAATATTGAACTTTCTTTATTATCTATATGCTGTTATAACTTCCAACTTTTCTTCATCTCTGTGATCATTAATACATTTCAATTAATCCCATTTATCTTTACATAACATGAATGAAATGTTGCTCTTCACTTGTAGGTTCTTGAAGATGAGGAAATGATAGTTAGGTATGACAAGAAATTGAAGACACGAGTATGTGCCATGGCAATTTCAACCCATTTGGAAGTGGTGGTGGCATTGTGAAATTCCAACAACCGACGACAATAGCTGACACGGCGGTCAATGAAGGAGAACACTGATCGGGTATGACAAGAAATTGAAGACACGAGTATGTGCCATGGCAATTTCAACCCATTTGGAAGTGGTGGTGGCATTGTGAAATTCCAACAACCGACGACAATAGCTGACACGGCGGTCAATGAAGGAGAACACTGATCGATTGATGCAACTAGAGACCAACAGTGATCGATGTCATCACATTGACGGAATTATCGTCCACCATCACACCATTTTCGAGTAAACCAAAATCTTTACGCATGGAGAAAGGCAATAAAAATCTTAGCAGTCCTCCGACATCTTAATGAAGGGAAAAAGGCAACTGCCCATCAATTGCACTGAATGATCAGAAATCAAAGTAAAAATCAATAGTGCAATTTGAAAGCTAACAACAAGAATGTAAATGCAGTCATGGATAAAGCTACAGACAACAGACAAACCCTGGACAGATCAAAAAGCAACAAGCCTTCAAAACAGAGACGACCAAAATTACAACGAGACCGGTGAGATTAGTTTGATAAGCAAGCATGTCACAAGTGCAGCAGGAAGGGTAGAGACCGAATTCACCAATGTGGAGGCATCAGACATACTTCCCAGTGGGGCACCTGCTGGGCCAAAACCTGGAAGTGACCCAGTAGATGGCACTGTCGAAGTCTTGGGAACAGTTGTTGTCGTGGAACCATCCAACTGAGGTGAAGGTGCTGGGGCAAAAGCCGAATCAGGTACATAAGTAGGCGGGGCTACGAGGGTAGGAAATTGCTGCAGTCCTGCATTTTTTTTAAAAAAAAAACAGAAATTTAAATCACCCAAGAAGCCTTCTATGACCATCTGGTAATATATGTGAATTCCGAAAAGTAAATGACTCATGTTTGACTCCTTGAGATTTGAAGTCATGTACTGTCAGAGAAGCTTAAACTTTCACTTATTTTAACAATACAGAGCATCAGAATAGCCAAGAATTATGCATCAGTGAAGGTAACAAATGAATTCAGTATATTGATGACTAACTAATTATTATTTGATTTCTAGATGCTACAATGAAAAAGATCACAAAAACAACATCAGATAAGAATTATTCTTCGACTCAGTCTTTTTTAATTTGTGAGAATGCAAAAGGAAATAAATATATTCACATCATTGGATTAGAGACGTCCAAATCATGCTAAAACTAAATGTTTTCTTGTCTTCATGCATTTTTGAATCACAATTGAGAACGGTATTTTATAACTTGTACCTGGACAGCGAGGTTGAAGAGAGGATGACAACCTGCAGAACAAAGTCCAGAATTGGAAGGGTTCAGTCATCGTAAAATTAGAACACAGAGATCACTTTTCACATAAATATCAATCAAAGTAAGTAAAAGGAGCAGCATACAAATTGATAATGGTGCCATTCGCATAACCACCGTAAGCACAAGAAGTAACGTTGCATCCAGCACTACTTTGCTGCACTGTAACGTTCCCCAGCTTAAGATTGCTTCCTTTACATTGCATGCTTGAACATGAAACAGCCAACGAAGAAGGCATACAGTACAAACTGCTCGACACAATCAATAAAAGTATTACACACTGTTAGATTTAAGGAAAAGAATCACAAGCGGTTAAAACCTTAAACTATCATACTACTAATGTAAACCAATAAGCTACGAGATGGCTCAATTACTTGCGACTCCCGGGCCCACAGCTGCACTGGACACAGTGGCTAGCAGTTATAGCATAGCTCCCATTAGGAACAATCAATCCATAATCTGAGGCATATTTGGGAAAATTTGAAGCACAAGCTGCATGAACAGAAAGAACCAATACTTAACTTTCACTGTCTTCGTAATCAACATAAACAAAGCAAAAGCATAAAAAGGAAAAAAAATCTTGATTCCAAGGCTGAGAATAGAAATCCACAATAATTCCATCAACTTGAAGTCATAAACATGGAAAATATCAAGTTTGCAGCAAATATATAAAAAGTTAACCCTAGTTCCCTAACTTCATAAGCAAGTATAAAACTCAACTCTACAGCTGAAAATTCAAGAGAATGGCATTGGCTTTAAATGATTAAATCATTGCAATTTTCAATTTCAGTGTCAACCAAACAATCTGCCACAACAAGGCAACTGAAAACTACCTGATAAAGGAACAGCTAGAATATCACCATCCTTAATAGAAGTAGTCCCCATAGCATTAACATTCATTAAATCCGTGATCGTAGTGGAATAAATAGCTGCAATTCCAGCCAAAGTATCCACTGGCTTCACCACATACGACAAATAAATGGCGGGCAGTCCATTATCAGTACCATTAAAACAAGTACACGGCAAAGGAACCACAAGGTTCTCCCCCACATCAAGAACAGAAGGATCAGCAATGGAGTTGGCCTCCCTAATCTGATCAGCCGACACCAAACCGGCATAAATCGAATCGGCAATCGACGAAAGCGTGTCCTGCGGGCGAGTTTTGTACTTGGTGGAAACGGATTTTCGAATCCCGTCAACACAGGAACACTGGATGGGGATCTTGAGGAAGAGCCGGGAAGGAAGGATGTGGTTTTCGACGTCGGGGTAAGAGATATCGATGGCGTTGGCGGTGAGGACCGCAATGGGATCAACCTGGAAGAGGGAAGCAACCTCGGCCACTTTCAAATCTGTGTAGAGAGTGTACCCCAACAAGGCGTTGCAGGAATCGGAGTTCGAACAAGGCTCGATTGTTGATTTTGAAGCTACATTGGAGAAAACTATGAAGCAAAAGGCAACAGAGAAGGAGAAAAAAGTGGGTCTTCGGTTTGGCATTGTAAATAACCGAGTTTTACTTTGCTACTCAATGATGGGGTTCTTCCTTTGGTAATGGTTTGGGGTTTTAGAGAAAAATTAAAAAAAAAGACCCAAAATTTAAAACCAATTAAAGATGGATTCTTTAGCTTCTTTTGAAGGTCCCTAGGGTTTGTTCAGATGAGTTTTACCCTCCACTCTCAACAAAAACAGCACTCTTTAATCTAATGAAGAGATACCATACAATGTAGAAAGTGAGGCTAGAAAAATGGGTGAATTTCAGGATGCTAGGGTTTGGGTTTCTTGCTTTTGAGCAAAATGGGTTACAGCAAGGAGGAAGAAGATGAAGTGAGAGAAAAGAAAAGGAGGAGACAGAATACTGAAAAGGAACAAAGGTGACGAAGAAAGGGCCAAATGTGGGGTTAAGTGGACAGACACAAGTCAGATTATCTATCATTGAGTTTTCAAGTATTATTTTAACCTTTTTACCGTTAAAGACTAACTTGTCCCTGTCCTTTTTTAACTTTACAAAATACTTAATTATATTATAAAAAATTAATAAAAAAATATTAAATTATATTTTCAAAAAATAAAAAATAAAAAATTATATTTAAAGAAGTAATATAAAATTATTTTTATATTATTAAGACTTATAATAACAAATTGATTTAATTAAACTCATACAATAACAACAACAACAAAACCATATTTACATATGCAATGGAGTAAGGGGAAGTAGCTTAGTAGGTTACCCCAACACCAGGTTGAGAGCAGCTTCCGTGAAAGACCTCCGGCAGTCAGAAAATTAAAAATAAAGATAAAATACAATACATGTATAAATAAATAAATAAATACATAGTTAAATAGTCTTCATATGCAGTCATTCATATGCGCGTCTATAAAGGTAAGTAATCCCTGCAAATAAATATCTGCCTAAAAATCTCTGCATATAGACAGAAACGTAAGTCCCATCTAAATTTGAAAAGAGGAAACATGAAGAAAATGATACACAGAAGTCAGCGATAGCAAGCTACGAGAATGAATAATGTCAAAATGGATTAAAACATAAACTAATGCAACACTACTCTGCTACCCTAGTTCTAAGCCTTCATAAATTCCAATGACAGAAACGTATAAAACGTAGAATTCATGGAAATTACTATAAAGGAAATTAAAAAGAAGACAGAGATGTTACACCCTACGGCTATTGACCCACACTACTCGGCTACCCTGGTCTTAAGTCTCCATACATTCCTATCAGAGGTCATGTCCTCGGTAAGGGATAAATCCTTCAAATCAGATCTCAAGCAGTATACCCACTTCCTCCTTGGTCGTTCTCTCCTTCTGGCACCGTCGACTGTAATCGACTTTACCCTCCTGACCGCATCTGACGGTTGTCGCTTAAGGAATGCCCAAACCACCGTAGTCTTTCCTCCCTCAATTTTTCGAATACAGGCACCACCCCCAAGGACATCCTAATTGCAGAGTTTGGTATCATGTCCCACAGAATCCTACCACATGCCCATCGAAGCATTCTCATTTCTGCGGCCTCCATCCTCCTTACGTGATCCTTCTTGATTGCCCAACATTCTGATACATACAACAGCGCTGGTCTTATTGCCCTTCTATAAAATTTTCCCTTGAGTTTTAGAGGCACCTTCTTGTCACACAAAACTCCAGTAGCAACCCTCCACTTTAGCCATCCCGCCTTTATACGGTGTGTAACGTCATCATCTACACCCCCATCTTTATGTATCATAGACCCTAGGTACTTGAAACAATCCTTTAAGGGGAGAACGTGTCCTTCGATGTAAACTTCTACATCTTCATCGTTTTGGTTCCCACTGAAGTTTGAACATAAATACTCAGTCTTTTCAATATTGATCCTTAGACCTTTTTCTTCCAAAGCAGTCTTCTAGGTAGCTAGTCTACTATTCAGCTCATTTTTTGTTTCAGCAACTAGGACAATGTCGTCAGCGAAAAGCATACACCATGGAACACCGTCTGGTGACGCACAATAGATATCGTCCATAATCAAGGCGAAGATGTAAGGGCTAAGAGCTGACCCCTGGTGGAGTCCGATTTCCATCGGGAATGCCTCGGTGTCGCCAACTATAGTCCTGACGTATGTAGTAGATCTACAGTACATATCACGAATCACCCAGATACAAGTAGTTGGGATCCGTCTCGTTTCCAAGGTCTTCTAGATCGTATTGCGGGGTACGCTATCATACGTCTTCTCAAGGTCAATGAACGCCATGTGAAGATCTCTATTTTTTCCTTATATTTCTCCATAAGTCGTCGAAGTAGGTGAATCGCCTCCATAGTAGACCTACCTGGCATAAAGCCAAATTGGTTTTCCTATAGCTTCATGGTATGACTCAGTAGTTTAATACCTCTGTAGTTACCACAATATTGGGGATCTCCTTTATTCTTATAGATTGGTATCACCGTAGACTCTCTCCACTCCTCTGGCATATTGACAGTCTCTAAAATAATATTAAAGATGTTGGTCAACCACTTAACTCCCTCTTCTCCTAGGGTCAACCACACAGAGATAGGAATTTGATCTGGACTGATAGCTTTGTCCCTCCCCATCTTTCTAAGGGCCATTTTGACTTCCTCAATCCCAATCCTACTTATAGGGCAATCATTGGTCGTAGTATGATGGTCGGCAGACCCATCAACGTTACTATCTCTGCAGGGAGAGGCACCGTTATTAAATAAGCCAAAGAACTAACTACCCCAAACCCTCTTAATATCATGATCTTTCACTAAAAGAACATCATTGTTGTCCTTAATAAACCTAATGCTACCTAGATCCTTTTCCTATTGTTTTGTCCTTCCTTGGTGTCTAATCTGTTGTATATTTCCTCGTATGCCTTATCCTTTGCTTTAGCCATTGTTTTCTTGCCTTCCCGCTTTGCCTCCTTGTATCTTTGTTTAGCTCTCGATCTTTCTTCGTCGTCATTGCATTGTAGCAACTCCTTAAAGCAAGTTTGCTTTGTCTTCACCTTAGTTTGGACTTCGTCGTTCCACCACCACGATTCTTTATGATCCTTGGTCTTCCCTGTTGACAACCCAAGGCTGTTTTTGCCCACATCTCTGATGGAATTTGCCATATTTTTTCATAACATATATGTATTATTTGAGTTTGTAGTTCCAAAACCTGTATGAGACAAAACCTTACTCCTAAAGTCATCAGTTGTCGCTCCATGTAAGTTCTTCCAAAGGATCCTAGGTTTACCTAGTGTATCTGTTGAAAACATTTTTATATTTCGATATAACAAATTAAGTTAAATGAATTTTAAGATTTTGAAAATAATTTTCTAAGTATATTCGATATAACTATTCGAATATCAAAACATTACTCCAAATCTTTCAAAAATCATTTTTAATCCTTACTCAAGTGTAAAATTAAGTTTTAATCTTAAAACAATTTCAAAATAATTTTACAAAGTATTTCGAAACATTTTAAAGCCAAAAATTCCAGATTGCTCAGAGGGAACCGATTCCCCCCCAAGGGGGTACCGATTCCCCCCTGAATGATTTGGCTCCGAGAATTCCAGTATGCTCGGAGGGAACCGATTCCTCCCCAGGGGGTACCGATTCCCCCCTTGTATAACGGTCGAAATATTTGAATTTTACACTTAGGGAACCGATTCCCCATAGGGGGTACCGATTCCCCCCCCCCCCCACGCTCCAAGCTATTTTATTAATTGTTTTCACACTAAAACGGCTATATGATCTTCACTAATCATCCCCAACGTTCAAAAGTGATTCAAGGTGTATTTAAACAAGTTCTGAAGTCTTTGATCAACAAGAAATCATAGAGAAACAAGAATGAAAGCATCAAACACCAAGTTTGTGCAAATCAAGCCAATTTTCCTTTCAATATTCATTTTGCTTTCAAAGAACACCATTTGTGCTCATTTGTAATTACTTGTGAGTGTTCTAGAATTGTGCAAACATCTTACCTTGTGAGGTTTTCCTTGTAAGTTTGCAAATTTGTAATCTTCTCTTTGGGAAAGAGTGTTCTCAAGAATTGGGGTATATTCTTGAGGGTGTTGTAAGGTTATCTCTTTGGCCTCAAAAGAAAGAACAAATTAGTGAATTTGTTGGAAAATACTTAGTATGGATAGCTAAGGTAGTGGACGTAGACTTTGATTGAGAAAGTCGAACCACTCTAAATCGCTATGCAATTACTTTCAATTTTCTGCAAAAGCTTCCACCAAATTTTTAATTGCCAATTCACCCCCTCTTGGCCAATTCCGTCAATCGATTAACTCAACAATTGGTATCAGAGCCTAATTCATTTGAAGGTTTAATCGCCTCTTGAGTCGATTCGGGAAGAGTTATATCGATAATCAAAGTCATCAATGGCCTCCGCTTCAAACTTTAACTCCGGTCTCGATTCGATACCCGTCAACAAGCCTCCCTTTCTTCAATGGAGCTAACTATGCCTATTGGAAGAATAGAATGATGTACTTCATTCAAGCAAGTGACATGGGAGTATGGAATGTCGTAGTAGAAGGATACATCAAGCCTCTCACTCATCCAAGATTGTGGAGTGAAGGAGAGACAAAAATGTTCCAGCTCAACTCCAAAGCAATCCATATCATTTTTTGTACTCTTGGACCAGATGAATACGAAAGAGTTTCATCGTGTACAACCACCAAAGAAATATGGGAAAAACTTCAAGTCACTCATGAAGGTACCGATGAGGTAAAGAAATCTAAAATTAGTATTCTAACGCATAGCTATGAAAATTTCAGGATGAAACCGAATGAAGATATCAAAGCTATGACGGATAGATTTTCAACAATTGTCAATGGTCTCAAGTCATATGGAGAGATCATTTCAAATGAAAAGCTTGTGAGAAAGTTATTCTACTCCCTCCCAAAATCGTGGTAATCAAAGAAGACGGCAATCATCGAGTCTAAGGACTTAACGTCCTTAACTTTTTAAGAGCTAATTGGGTCACTCCTCACTCATGAAATGATTCTTGAAGATGAGGTGGACCTTGATAAGATTGAAGAGACACCAAAGGAGAAGGAGAAGGAGAAGAAGAAAAACATTGAAATTGCTCTCAAATCCATAAAAGATGAGAGTGATTCGGATGAAAATAACGATAACGAGGAAATGACATTGTTTGCCAAATGGTTCAGAAAAATGATGAGACCTTACCGAGGAAGAAATTTCAAACAAAATGAAGGCCTCAAAAATGAACCAAAAGAGAAGGACCCAATCATTTGCTATGAATGCAAAAAACCGGGGCATGTCAAATATGATTGCCCACAATTAAAGAGAAAGGGTCAATCAAAGAATAAGCACAAGGCTCATGTGGCTACATGGA